TTTTTAGGCGGTTTTGATGCACATCAAATCTTTACAATCGTTTCTGCATACAGCCAATATTTAATATTAAAGTTAAACGATTTTTATTCATAATATGGTACAATAAACATAATAATTTATAGAATATTTTATATACTTAATATTTTTTTTAATGGTTAACTTTTATAGTATTTTCATAATTTAGTGCATAATAAAAAAAAGTAGTAACGCCATTCAGTAGAACCTATTTAGCACACAGGCAAAGCCTATAAGTAGTGTACCTAAAATATTAACACAAATACATTTTATTGCGTACATACTGAAATAAACCATGAACAATTTTGAGCAAGTTGATATTGAATTTAGACATAAATCATCCAAACACATCAATTAAATATGTGCATATTTGTATTATGACGAAATATTAAAATAGATTTGCTTAAGGTAGTTGTCGTGCTGTAAGCATACCATCAGAAAATTTTTGTATACTTATTAAGGACATGACAATACAATAATTATCCTTAAAATTTGAAGTCGATTGACCGTCTATAACCCGAGATAAATTCAATTAAAAATTGGATAATTAACATGGATTGTATACGCTTTCTGTAGTTCTGTACCAGTTTCTTAGTTATAAAAAAAAACTAACTGTCAGACGCAGTCTTTTAAGGTATTTTTGCTGAGTTTAAAAAAAATAATTAAAAATTTTTGACCGTCCAATTGTTTATAAATAACCGTTTAAAGTTCAACAATTTGTGAAAAGTATACATCACTAGTGTCAGATAAAAACAGACTGAATCAGTCTCCAATATATCTATTGGTTGAGCATAAGCGACGTTGCCGGATTAAAACTTATTAAAATATTTGAAAGTATTACGTAAAGGTAACGTCTCCAGGGTACAGTCTTGCGAAAAAATTATGAATCACTTAGCTACAAGCTCGTATACTTTTACGGTGCGTATAATCTAAAAATTTTTGACAATATTGTACCACGACAACTACCTTAATTCGATTTGGTAATTAAATTTTCGTGTTTTATACATATGTTAATTTACAAAAATATGTAGTCCCAAAAACTAAATATTTGTATGGTTTGCTTACATAATTTAGATATTTTTTATTATAGTTATTTTGCTCCTATCTTTTTACTAGATGGATTCTATAGTTTTTTAATAATTATTAAGAATAAGTTAATACAATATAACTTGTAAAGGTGCTGTTTACAAATTAGAAGTGATAAAACAAAATTATGACATTATGTTTTTAGTATTATCTTTACTTTTCGTGATAAGCCTAATGATATATGTATGTAGCAAATGACGACAAATAGAAACATAATTAATAATCCAAAACAATGAAGATACCGATAAAGTAATACTGACCTGCAAAAAAGGTCCTTGCAGGGCAGTATTACTTTATCGGTATTTTCATTGTTTTGGATTATTAATTATGTTTTTATTTGTCGTCATTGCTACGTACATATATCATTAGGCTTATCACGAAAAGTAAAGATAATATTAAAAACATGTCACTTCTAATTTGTAAACAGCACCTTTACAATATAACATACAGAACATAAATTCTGCCTTTGGCAAGTAAGAAGCACAACCTTAAAACAGAAACATTAAAAGGGATTTAAATACTATTATTAGTATTACTAATATAAAATTTATTACGAACATTAAACTTAATTCAATTCTTTTTGTAAATTTAATTATTCGCACATTCCCAGAATAAAGGTATTCTTAATGGTTATGTTTTGAGACGGGATTATCCACTATATACTGGATAATTATAATTAAAAAAAAATTTATATACAGTATGTCTCAGTATCTTGGAATCATATGGAAAACTTTTTTATTATTAATTTTAGGAAAAAAAGTTATTCTTTATAAAAAGTTCTGCATGGTGTACCACTTAAAATGCAACCCACAAATATTAATTTTTTTTAGTCGTATACAGGGTATGTCATAAAATATGAATTTGACTCAATAGTAAAGTACCTTTATATTTGACAATATCGAAAATTGTTATAAAGAAAAGTTAATCAGAACTAAAAACTACGTTCAAATATGCAATTTCATCCATTTACATTAAAAAATTAGGTTTTGTTAATTTTTACTAATCTTTCTATTTTAAATGAACATTTATGTGTTATGATTACAAAAAACATGAAAACCTTTTCGTTTCTAAATGTTTTCTAAAAATTTTGCAATTTTAACAGATAAATGTTCATTTAAAATGAAAATATTAAAAAAATTAACAAAACCTAATTTTTTAATGTAAATGGATGAAATTGCATATTTGAACGTAGTTTTTAGTTCTGATTAACTCTTCTTTATAACAATTTTCGATATTGTCAAATTTAAAGGTACTTTACTCCTGAGCCAAATTCATATTTTATGACATACCCCGTATACGACTAAAACAATTTAATATTTGTGGGTTGCATTTTAAGTTTTACACCATGCAGAACTTTTTATAAGGAATAACTTTTTTCCTAAAATTAATAATAAAAAAGTTTTCCATATGATTCCAAGATACTGAGACATACTGTATATACTTCACACTAGAATATTATTATTTTTTTGTCGAGTGGTTAATAATTAATATAATAGGCCGATTGTGGATAATTTTAATGACATTCATTTTTCCCTAGTTAAATAAGATATTTCTCCCCCTGTATATCATCCTTTTATAGCAACAGTTGTTATCTGGTAAGGAATAAAGCCTCATTCAGAACCTCGTAATTAGTGGAAAAAATTAGTGGTTTCAATTAAACTTATAATTAACACAAAACGATCATTCGCAATTTGCAAAATTAACATCCAAAATTAAGGGAATTTGCTAAAAGATTGTCCATTTTTCTTAACCTGTACTACCACTAATTTTTTGGTTGTGAACAACACTGTGTATATTCATAAGACAAACTTTTACGTTAATTGAAACCACTAATTTATTCCTCTAATTACGAGGTTCTGAATGAGGCTTAAGTCATATTTTTCCGCTACCATTAGCGACGCTACAGTGTGATTAACTCTAAATGTAAACATATCTACATAAAGTTTTTTCGCTTTAACGAAAAAAATAAGGTATTTAAAAAAATCTATGGATAAATAATAAAGTTATGAAAGTTTATGTACAAGTAGCAAAATTCAATTTTTATTATTTTTGAACTGTTACCTTATTGTATCGTATATTTAGTAGATAGTTTTTTGTTGTTTATTTATTAATTACTAAAGTTTTTAAGGTTTAATTTTTGTATTTCACTGTGTGATGTCGTTACCAATAGGCTATAGGCTATAGGCAATTTTCCTAGGTTGACATACTGTTTCTGTTATTGTGTTGTGTCAGATAACTCAGTATGATGATGGCAGTTTATTAGAAATACTTTTATATTTTTGATCGTCCTATGTTTTTTTTTCGGTATCTGATTTTGTTAAGAGGAACCAAATTTAATTTTCCACCATTCATTCATCTTAAGATTTCTTTACTTTTTAAAAAAACCTTCCATCATGTCGTCATATACAGGGTGTCCGGGAAAATGTGGGAAATATCTCGGATTCAGATAGAACATGAAAAAATAAGATGACACGTTCCTATAAATTTTTTTCCTACTGACCATCCTTACGGAGACATGGGCCCCGAAAGACTCCCCTGCAAATTGGTTTTCCTTGAATAACTTTTAAAGTACTAAATATAATTTAATAAAAATTTAATATGATGGATCCTGGTAAGGACCTCTTAAAGAAGTGTCATTGAAACATGTTTTGCTTTTTTTGTTTACCAGGGGCGCACTAAGTTTTACTTATTAATGCTTAAATTTTGAACACCCCGTATGACAAAGACTTAAAAAACTAAATCTGCATAGCTTGAACCTTAAACTAAAATAAAGGTACTCTTGTTTATTGTCAATAAAATGAACCGTTTTCGAGAATAAGAATAATAAACGAATTCATGTTTTATTTTAATAAAAAGGACCATAAAAAAATAATATAACATATTGTTGCAAACCTTAAATTGAAGGACGATAATTCGAACCAATTAATTAAAAACTTTATAAGAGGGTTCAACATGGGTTCCGTGAACTCTGATACATTCGCGGGCACGACGAATTGAGGACTGCTGTACCCGCCAGAATAACCCAGAATTGTTTCTTATCATATCACAATGAAACGTGATTATTTGTAGAAGTTCCTCCCTAGTATCTATCGGAGTGGAATACACCAAGTTTTTTTAGGTGTCCCCACATTAAAAATCCATCAGCGTAAGGTCGGGAGATCGAGGAGGCCAGTCAATAGGTCCTCCTCTACCTATCCAACGGTTTGGATAAACGTTATTCAAGTGCTCCCTGCACAGCAACGCTGAAATGAGGTGGTGCCCCATCGTGCAAGAAGTACATGTTTAGGCGGGTTTCAAGTGGTAAGGGCTGGTAAGAATAGTGCTAATGAAGTTTACATCATTTTGTTGCTGATCCAATAGCCAGTTTGCAAACTGCATTCTACAAGGAAAATCTTCAGAAATAAGTTTATGCACTTTTTGCATATGATATGGATATAACAGCTGTTCTTAAAAAACATCATGCACTATTGCTTCCGACGTATTAAACTGTGCTGATAATTTTTGAGTGCTCGTTGAAGGAGTGTCATCTAGAGCATTTAAAATATTTTTCAAACTTACCTAAAATTATGAAGAAAGTCAATAATATTACTTTAATAACTGAAATTGTCCACCATTCTCTCTAAGACGTTGCACACAGGAGTATTTGGTTTGAATAACCGGTCAAAAGTAAAAAATATAAACTATCAGCAAAATTTTTAAAAATGCACCATTTGAACTCGTCAATGATTGCGCAAGCTTAAACAAGTTTTAACTGAAATCCTAGCGCTCGCCCGTTTTCAAACAGATAGCGCGAATCTATGCAAAATTTCGTTCCCTTAGTGGTATTGATAACCTCCAAATTGTATTTAAATTGTAGCGGGTTTTATATGCTGTTTCGTTGATTTAAGAAAATATTTGTTATGAATTCCGAAGAAGAAGGTAAGTACTTGCTAATAATGTATAATTTGAGTGTAAATTTGAAGTTTGAGCTGTTTGAATACAACTAATTTTAAACAATTTAAAATTTTAAGCAATTAATTAAGTGTTTATACTCGAGGTGTTTTAGTAGTTTGCCGTGCACGATCGAGTTGTATATTAATTTTTTTCATAAACTATAACTAATGTGGTATATATCACACCCAGAAAATTTCACCCATCTGTCCACGTTTTTTTTTTTAGCTACGCACTCGTTGGGCAATCGCAAAAGTACGTTAATAAAGCGTTATCACACGTATATTGTACAAATTTTTATCTACGCCTTTAAATGAAAAAATAAACGGTAATTATTTTTGTCTAAGACTTAATTTAGGGTTATTTTGACATTTTGAATTTTTTATTTGATTGGTTAAAAGCAGAGAAAAACGCGTGCGTTAATGAACTTCTTATCTCACTCAAAATGAGTGGGATAAGAAGTTCTAATCTCACTGGCGTAGATAATAGTTATTTATGTATTAAGGGCATAATAAGGTTTTTATGGTCCGAGGCGCTATTTCGAGCCCGAGCGCGTTAGCGCGAGGGCTAGAAAAGCGTCGTAGGACCATAAAAACCAGTTATGCCAGCAATGCATACAAAACTTTATGCACGATTAATATATTATTATTTTTAATATATTATTGTTTTTAAAGACGTTTACGTCAAAGAATTTTTGTTATAATTGTCATATTATAATGTCAACTGACATCAGTCAGTTTTAAAGTTTAAAGATAAATGAAATTGAGGAAGCAGCTGAAAAGGCGAAAAATTGCTGCCTGCTGCCGGTAAAATCAAAATCTTTATACGAAAAAACTTACTTCGAATATATCAAATGGTGTAACATTGTTGTTTTTAATTTTTGACGTTTCATTATAGCCCGCTGGGCCATAATAACGCCCGCGGGCTATAAAAAGACGTTTACGTCAAAGAATTTTTGTTATAATTGTAATATTATAATGTCATCGTGCATAAAGGTATTTATCTAATTACAAAAAAGGCCGAAAAATTATTAATTACAATACTTCCATCGATATTAATTATTGTGTGCTGTTTAATTTCAAATTTATCGTGTATTTTTCTTCCATTTGAAAAAATACAAGTTTAGTTTGTTACGAACTTTTTGGGACACTTTGTACTATGGCTATATTTTTAAAACATAGTCAGCTCGATTACCAATAATATGCAAAAAAACCTTTTTTCAAAACTTCTCGCCGTTTTCCCACAATAGTCCACCCCATCTTGGTTGCACCACCCTATATAAATGTGTTCCTACTTATAAAACCATTGTCATTTATTTTTTTACACTAATTTCTATTGATATTTACATTTTTAATTCAAATCAAATTTAGCCGTTAAATATTTTTGACCGGGTTTTTCAACCAAATACTCCTGTGTGCGTTGGTCAATTCGTTAAAATGTCTTCTGATTTCGAATAATAAGAAGAGAATGGTGAACAATTTCATTTATTAAAGTAATATTATTGACTTCCTTCATAATTTTAGGTAAGTTTGTAAAAAAAGTTTTCTTTTCACGGATAAAGCAGGATTTACGAAAAAAGGTATCACGAATTAATACAACACACATGTATGGGCTGAAGAAAATCCTTATGCCACTATTGTTTCGCATTTTCAACATCAGTTCCAACCAATTAATTCGTGGGCAGAAATCATTGGCAATATTTTGATTGGACCATTCGTATTGCTGGCTCTATTGAATGGACAACTTTATTTGGAGTTTTTCCAGAACGCTTTTTGGGATTTAATAGAGCCCTTACCACTTGAAACCCGCCTACACATGTACTTCTTGCACGATGGGGCACCACATCATTTCAGCGTTGCTGTGTGGAGCACTTAAATAAAGTTTATCCAAACCGTTGGATAGGTAGAGGAGGACCTATTAACTGGCCTCCTTGATCTCCCCGACCTTACGCTGATAGATTTTTTCCTGTGGGGACACCTAAAAAACTTGGTGTATTCCACTCCGATCAAAACTAGGGAGGAACTTCTACAGATAATCACGTTTCATTGTAATATCATTCCTTACTCAATGGTAACATTGAGTAAGGAAGAATATCATTCCTTACTCAATGGTAATATGATAAGAAACAATTCTAGGTTATTCTGGCGGCTACAGCAGTCCTCAATTCGTCGTGCCCGCGAATGTATCAGAGTTCACGGAATCCATGTTAAACCCTCTTATAAAGTTTTTAAATCATTGTTTCGAATTATCGTCCTTCAATTTAAGGTTTGCAACAATACGTTATATTAATTTTTTTATGGTCCTTTTTATTAAAAATAAAACATGAATTCGTTTATTATTCTTTTTTTCGAAAACGGTTCATTTTATTGACAATAAACAAGAGTACCTTTATTTTAGTTTAAGGTTCAAGCTATGCAGATTTACTTTTTTAGACATATAATAAATGTAACGTTTAAATAACACAGGAATTTTTTTTAACTTTTAATTTTATAACTTTTTTTTGAGTGGACATATTGGAATAATTTCAACCTTGAATAACTATTAAAGGAGTGAATTTACGAAAAAATTATAAGAGACATTTTTTGTAGAACGTTCAATTTTCTTCAAAAATATATAGAGTTCATTCCAATACGTTCACTCAAAAACGAGTTATAAAATTTCAAAGTTAAGAAAAAAGAATTCCTGTGTTATTTAAACGTAAAATAGAAATTCACGATGAGCGACCTCTAAATATTAATATTAAGAGCTACAATTTTCACAGGCTTCTTTTTTTACTACTAGGAAGATATTTTAATGCGGGCTTTGAAGAAAAAAAAATATTCGATTTTTTTGAACCAGTCTAATATACAGTGTGTCGCACTTAAGATGAAGACACCCCCATATTTTCGCTATTTGAAGGAATAAAGGTTTGAATTTTTTCACATTCATACATGTTGATGGGTCACATTTTTTAAGCTACTCAACTGAAATCTGAACTTTAAACTTGGCCTACTACAAATTCACAAACAGCGCCAGTTCTCGATATTTTGCTTCGCGTTAGAGATATCGAAAAAAGTTATTAGAAAAAGTTGTTCAGAATATTATTCTAACCCAATATACATTATAACAAAATTCGCATTTTTATTTTTTTTTTTATTTTGGTGCACACAAAATTATTACAAGTTTATTTTTTAGTTTGGGAGCCATGGAAAGTAATAATTTGATTTGATTTGAACTAGTGTTTATGACCGTTAAATAAATAATTAAAACAATTTTTGGAAATTACAAATCAATTATAATTTATTAAATTAAGGAAATGATAATAAAAATAAATAAATTAGAAATGCGAATTTTGCTATAAAAATTGGTATTTCTAACGCGAAGCAAAATATCGACAACTGGCCCCGTTTGTGAATTCGTAGTAGGCCAAGTTTAAAGTTCAGATTTCAGTTGAGTATCTTAAAAAATGTGACCCACCAACATGTATGAATGTGAAAAAATTCAAATCTCTATTCCTTGAAATAGCGAAAATATGGGGGTGTCTTCATCTTAAATGCGACACACTGTATATATATATATATATATAATACTTCAGCCAATCTTCGACTATTATTAAATACAAAGATGGAAATATAAGGTAAACAAAATTAGTTACCTGACACAATACAAAAAATGAAAACAGTTCGTGGGTTGAGTATTATAATGTTCTAACAGCACTTTTGGCGCGAAATCGGCTTTTTTTGATAGAAAAATAGTACATAAAATTTCTGTTCTATGTATATAAAAATGCCTGTTTAATTTAATACACAAACTAAAAAAAAAGCATTATTAAATTGTTCTATCGCACTTATTTAAAAACGGTTAAAAATTATAATATCCTAACAGACCAACCAATGAGAGAAGAGAATTTTGATCTGTTAGAACAATATAATTTTTGCTGTTTCAGTTTTGTATGCAAGTAATAATCACGTGGTTGTGCGGTGAAATTAAAAAAAATAATAATACGTAGGTATGTTCTTATTTAAGGGGTACTTCTTAGAACCCTAAAGTTTTGGAATTCTTTAGAACTAAAAACTTTTAGTTTTAAAGAATTTTGTATGCTGTTAGAACAAAATCTGATGTTTTGTGTAAAATTTTCGTTTTCAATAAAAAAAAAATGTTCTATCAAAAATTGTTTATTTTGTAAAACCCAGTATTGGAAGAAATAAGTTCAAATAGGGACAATACATTTTTTAATTCTTAAGGATATGAGTCCAAAACCAGTACTTAAAATTATAAAAATCTTTACAAACGGTATTAGAATGAGCCTGGAATATTTAATGGCCATTCCCCAACAATTTCATTTTGGATTCATAGAACAATATAATACTCAACCCACGAGTTGTATCAACCTAAGAAATTGGCATATTAACTACATTGACATCACACCGTCAAATCAAAATTTAAACAAAAAAAATCTCATTGATAAAAACTTTCTCTTTGAATTGGATTGTAAATTCAATGAATAAAAGCTCATTCACATCCACTTAATACGCGTAACTTAACTTAACGTACGAGAGAGACGTAAGTTGAAATACATTGAAACCAATGCAGCTGTTTACATTCGTAGAAAACTTATCACACGTAACTTAACGTATCCAAAAGTTGGGTCCGGCTCAATACGTTTCTTACGTGAGCCAATCACATGCCCAGTTAAACGATATAGCGCTATCTTGTTTCACTTTTATAGATAGATAGGCAAGCCAGTCTACATCGATGTCTACATTGCACGTTAGGTCGGATCGAAAAAACATTTTTTTCGAATTTGGTGTGGCGGTAGGTGGGAAAAGTTGCCCATACGCATGCAAAAAATAATGAAAAAAAAAAAATTGGTGTACGACATCGGCTTCCGCTTGCGCATTGCGGTCAAACTTTCATGATTTTAGGCATATTTTCCAGTTTTGTATGAACTTTGAAGTCGATTATCTCTGAGGTACGATCTGGCGCCGACAGTCAATTTCGATTTTATT